CAATTTGAATTTGATAAAACTGTATTAGACCAACTGCCTTAAAGAGAAGTTTCTAAATCATTATTATTAACTACTTACTTACGTGGCTCTTAGTGCCTACGCCTGGATCTCACTCCCAGTATACCAGCTGCTAGTGTCCTACGCCCCTATGGTTCAACCCTTTGGCGATGTTTGAAAGGAATGTATCATGGGATAATCACTATGACTCATTTATAATGGCTTATAGTGCCTACGCCTGGACCTCTTTTCCAGTATACTAGTGGCATTTATATAGTGTTTTTTCTTTCATATTATTTTCAGATTACTTATTAATTTTTTTTTCTTTTTTAGATATAACATTTTATCATTATATTTATGACTTTAAAGATGAAACTGATCCGAAAAACTGGAATGCTTTAAACTGCCTTCAATCATCAGAGTGTGGTTTAAATTTTCCGGAAATGGCCAGCGTTATGCAAAATTATACAGATTACGAAGATAATAAAAAAATTTAATTCTATCTTGGTGTACTAACAAAAGATGTTAAGGATGTGTTTTACATATAAAAACACTTCTAAATCTAATAAAACAACCTAATTCTAATGCTAATTAGATAAATAATTCAGGGAAATATTCATAAAATTTTTATATAGTGCTAATTTTGTGTATTAATAGGGTATATTATAAAATTTAATTATTAAATCTGTGACGGTTCGGCCCGCATTTATAAAATTTAGTAATAAGTCTGGGGGAATAAAAGTAGCCTTTAACGCGGATCAGTAAAGACAATTAATAACTATGTAAAAGCCCAATAGTAACGTAAAAAAAGTGTATGCCAAAAATTAGAGTTGATATTGATTCAAGTTGGTGCCTTAAGATTTTGAATAGAAGACTGATTTTTTTGAATCTGCTTTTTAATTAAGTTTTTGTTTTATTACTTGCTTTTTTGTATTTTAATTTATCTAATTTCCATTTTCTAGTTAGTTTATCTAATTTCCGTTTTCTCTTCAACTTATGTAATTCCATTTTTCGACCAGTTTTTGATTGTATAGAATTCCATTTTCTCGACAATTTATCAAATTTCCATTTTCTCTTCAGTTTACATAACTTTATTTTTTGACCAGTTCTCGATTGTATAGAAGGAAGGCGGGCTATTGGACGAATTTTTGCATCATTTTTTAGATCAATTTTTGGAACAATTTTTAGATTAACGTTGGGATCAACGTTGGGATCAACGTTCGACTCAGCTTTTGATCCAATTTTTGTTGGATTTTGTTGGTCATCCTTCCTATAAGATGAAAGAGCTGTCTTTTTGCTGTAGCTATGAACATTTTTAGATTGATCATGCTCCCAATTATTTTTGTCAAAATGGGATTTTTTAAATGATAAATGAGAATAATATTTTGGTTTATTATCAATCCTTACATGCAAATAAGGAACGCCTAAACCATGGGTAGATAACCATCGAGGTCGAGGAGTACCGGTTTCTAAACTTTCAGATAGTTTATTAGCTACTTCTTGCCAAAACTTAATCTGTTGTTCTTTTGGAGCATTTTTAGTAAAATTACTAAGATTTTTATAATCAAGATTGTGATGAGGCATAGGAACAATTAAAGTAGCGTCTTTTCCTAAATTAGAAAAGCTACAAACGTAATTATTATGGCACGTATTAAGTAGTTAATAATAATGATTTAGAAACTTCTCTTTAAGGCAGTTGGTCTAATACAGTTTTATCAAATTCAAATTG